TAAATTTGACAATTAGAAAGAAGAATTTTAAAATATAAATACCTAAGAGAGTCAACACATTGCTACAAAAGACTTGTAGAAAAACTTACAAAAAAAGAAAGTTCTTTCTTAATTTGTAATAGAGAAGGAGCCAGAAGAAGCAATGTAGCTGGAGGAGAGCATAAGGAAACAAAAATAGGGTGAGGTAGAGATGCTGGATAAAGAAAATGTAGCAAAGTGTTACAATTTTGCTATGTGCTCCTTCTCTCTTTTCTTTATCATTATTTATTTATTCAGGATATATAGAACAAAAGATAGAATTTCCTATTTTTGTGGTAATGCTTTTACATGCTATTCACATTAATTTTCCAACAGGAATTTTTTTTTTAAAAAGAAAACCTTAACTCCATTGTGAATTTATATCTCACCTTTATGCTTAAGAGGGAACCTGGTGCCCTATTGGATGAGGAGTTGGCCTGCTACTCACAAAGGAGGTGAATCAAATACATCTGCTTCTCTGTGGGAAAAAAGATGGAGATTATTGTCCTACGAGATTTTCAGACTCTCAAAATTTTCTGGATAGTTAGCTGTGGGGAGTTGATGGCAATAAGTTGCTGTTTGTTTTTTCATATTTAAGGAAATGCTTTTGCCTAAACTACTCAAATTGGCTTCATTGCCTGTCAGATGGTAGTTTCTTAAGCAGTAAACATAACTATGAGGAATAATTATTCAGAGTGTTAGATTTCTACATAGTGACAGTGGTTTTTTTTTTTTTTTTTTTTCTCTCAGGCAACAGCCATAGATGTCAATAATGATATCCCTCGTGCCATGGTTCTTAATCCAGTTTGAATTTTTAGCAGTTCAGTGTTGATGTACTGTTCAGCCACTTAAAAATAAACTTCAGCAAGATTTTACTTGCTTCTGCTGTTATAGTGTGATAATTTCCACATTCTATTTCATCACTTTTTTAAATAACAAGCATGAGCCTATTAGTAATAATAGTAGGAGACTATTTTAATAATAGTAGGAGACTTTTAAATATAGAAAATATGGATTTTATCCTTGCATTCTTTACCATACAAAGTGTGTTTACATAAAACAATTAAGGAAAAATAGAGATTGTGACTAGTGGAACCCAGTGATACACTCTGCTGAGAAATATAAGGTCATGTGACCATATCCCAATATAGTTATTGCTGTTAGGTGCTGTTGAGTCAAGTACAACCCATAGCAACCCTATGAACAATAGATCTAAACCCTATCCTATCCTGTGCCATCCACACAATTTCTCATAGACTTGAGCCCATTGTGGAAGTCCATTAAAAAAGAAAATTAAAACATGGTCTTGAGTCTATCCCATCTGAATTTAAAAATCATTTAAGAATATGTTTGAAACATTGAACACCAATGATTGGAGACCAAATGAGCTGTGGGATGACATCACTGATAGAATCTATGAAGAGAGCAAAAGGTCATTACAAAGACAAAGGAAAAATGGGAAAAAAAATCAAAATGAATGTCAGAAGAGACTCTAAAAATTGCACTAGAACACTGAGAAGCCAAAACAAAAAGGAAATATGTGCAAGTAAAAGAGCGGAATAGGAGATTTCTTAGGGCAGCTCTAGAAGACAGTGAAATATTATAACAGAATATGCAGAGGGCTGAAATAGGAGAATAAAAAGGGAAGAACCCACTCTACATTTCTCAAGCTGAGAGAATGGAAACACAAATTTAAATCTTGAGGCTCAGTATTGAAGGATGTTATAGGCAGTATGTTGAATGATCCAGGAAGCATCAAAAGAACATGAAGGGAACACACAGAGTTACTGTACCAAAAAGAATTTGACTGACATTGACAAATTTCAGGAAGAGCCATGCAAACAATAGTCAATGATAACAAAGGAATAATTTGAAGCTGCACTGAAAGCATTGGCAAAAAATATGAGCCCAGGAATTTATGGAATACTGATTGACGTGTTTCAACTAACACATGCAGCCCTGGATGCACTACATTCACCAGTCTATGCCAGGAAGTTTGGAAGAAAGGTGTCTAGTCAACTGTCTGGAAGAGGTCTATATTTTTTCCCATTCAAAAAAAAAAAGTGATCCAAGAACATGTGGAAATTATTGAACAATATCATCAATATCACATTCAAGGAAAATATTGCTGAAGATCATTAAAAACTGGGCAGAACAGTATGTAGATAGGAAATTGCCGAAAGTTTTAGTAGAATTTAGAAGAGACTGTGGCACCTGGGATATCATTGCTGATGTCAGATGGATACTGGCTGAAAGCAAAGACTACCAGAAGAAAGTAAATTTGTGCTTTATTGACTACAAATGCATTTGACTCTGTGGATCATAAAATATATTCATATTGAGAAGAATAGAAATCTCAATGCAGTTAGGATTCTATTATGTATATTGAAGATGAAGGGAGCTCTGGTGGCCTAGTGGCAAAAAGCTGCACTGCAATCCCTAAAACACATGGTTTGAATCCACCAGATGCTTTGCTGGAGAAGGAAGAAGGGATAATCTCTTGTGCCAGTCTGATGCGACTCATTGGTACCCAACAAGGAAAAAAAAATATATGTGAAGATAAAATCATTATTTATATAGAACTATACACAAACAGACCACTATGCACATGGACCACCTCACCTACTGAACTACACAGGAATCCGATTGACTACATCTGTGGAAAGAATCATTAACAAAGCTCAGTATCAGCTATGGAAAGCAGGCCAGGTGCTGACTGTGGGACAGACCGTCAACTACACGTGTGCAAGTTCAAACTGAAGCTAAATAGAAATAAATCCACAAAAACAAAAATAGGATTTGAATATTTCCCACCTGAATTTAAAAACCACTTCAAGAATAGGTTTAAAGTATTCAACACTAATGGTCAAAGACCGGATAAGCTGTGAGATGACATTTGCAAAGAAAGCAAAAGGTCATTTTAAAGATGAAAAAGGAAGAGAAGACCAATGTCAGGAGAGATTGAAAATTGTATTTGTAATCTATAGAGTCACTGTGCCAAAAAAGAATTGGCTGACATTGATCTATTTCAGAAAGTAGCATGTGATCAAGAACCAATGGTTTACCAACAGTAAAAAAAATTAAAAAAACATGTTTCAATGGTAAAAATCTACTATCAAGAGATACCTAAGAAATAAGAGCAATGATGTCAGTTTAAGGACTAAAGTGTGCCTGACCAAAGCCATAGTCTTATCAATTATTTGCAGTGTATCTGACAGTTGGATAGTAATGAAGGATACCAGGAAAAGAACAAATGACTTTGAGTTGTGGTGCTGGAAAAGAGTACTGTATAGTCCATGAACTTCCATGAGAACAAACTGTCTTGGAGAAGGTGATTCCGGGATGCTTCTTGGAGGTACAGGTAGCGAAATTTTGTCTCACATATTTTGCATATGTTGTAAAGAGGGATCAGTTATCGGAGAAGGACAGTATGCTTGGAAAGATGGAGGGTCAGCATAAGAAAGGTCAACAATATGGATTGACACAGTGACTGTCATAGTGGGCTCACATGTGTTGGAGTTAATGAAGGTGACACAGGATACAGAAGGGTTCAGAGCAAATATCCATGGGGTTGTTATGAGTAGTGAACTCAATAGCACATAACAACAACAACAACAATAATAGCAACATCAGACTATATGAATATCTTACAGAACTAGAAAGCCTATATAGGCATTCAGATAGACATTTTCTAGTCTTGATGGTGCATCAGTAGCTTAGGTATTTACTAATTTATGAATTTCATTTGTGTCTATTGTGCACATTGCCCTAATTCAGGTATCAAGGAGGAGAAGATATGTAAGTTTAGCCTTTCTCATAAAAAAATAGCTAAGTTAAACATCCTTGTAAAACTGCACACAATTAAATGATCAAATTCCAAATAAAACAAGTAATTTATAAAGCAAAGTTAAAAGAGGCATCAGGTATTATTTCATAAAAGGAAAAGGTTTATTAAGACTTATTTCAATAGATAGTTGGGGATAAATATTGATGATCAGAGGAAGCACTATAGTTAAAATATTAGTTTGAAGATAAATATGTTTAAGAGAAATACAGTTGATAATTATAAACTTCAGAGTTATAGAGTGGATCAACAGGCTAAAAGTTTCAGTAGATCACTCTGAATAGACATAGTAGGTGAAGAATTATATTTAATTTATTCATGTAGTAGAGATATAAAACATTCTGGTTTGGGTGTAATAGACAACTTCAAACAATGGAAGATTCCAATTAGGTGTTGGTGGTCCCTTGACCCATTGCCTTTAAGAACATTTATTTTCTGACTTTAGATTTTCTTCTCTCTCTTGAAATACTTCAAAAACATACATAGTTGATTTCTTCTACCAAGATTAAACAAAAACACATCACAGAAAAAAAATATATAACTTGCTGTTGTTATTGCTGTGTACGGTCATGTTGGAACCAACCCATGGCTGCCACTCTGGTGGGTTTTCTGAGGCAGCAAATCACACAGCAGGAGATTGCCTTGCTTCTTCTGTAGATTAGCTGGTGGATTTAAACACTGGGCCTTTGGGGATTCTAGTGTAGCTTTTTACCACCAGCTTCTTACCAACAATGCCATATAATTATTCAGTGAATTATACATATACAAAACATTTTGAATATGTCATCAAGGAACCAAACTTAAATTGTTAATGAATCATATTTTTCTATTACCATAAAATTAGAATAAATTTATATCTGAAATTTAGATAGATTTCTAAGACTGTAAAACATATGAAAAGAGATAGACCATCTTTCTCCCAGAGAGAGGGGAGTAGAACCTCTTCTAGGTATTGGCAGATTGACTCTCCAGAGATGTGGCCTTTAGTTTTACAGCACACTCCCTATATGTTGGACCACTAGGGCTCCCAGTGAAAGAGAGTTTTCTTTCGCTTATTAAGTGTGAAGCAGGACATGATTTACTGATACCATTTTATGTTGGGCCAGTGTGACAATTCAGTGTTTCTCTCAAAGATGTCTTAGTTTTGTCTTGTTCTCAATCTCAGGACTTTCTTCAGGGCATCTTTCATGTCCTTGTTTCTAAGACTATAGATGAGAGGATTTAATAGTGGAGTTACTGCGGAGTACACTAAAGTGACAACCTTTTGCATCTCTGCTGAGTTCCCTGATGTTGGGCTCACATACACAACCATAAGGGTTCCATAGAATAGAGACACAACCGTTAGATGGGAGCCACATGTGGAGAAAGCCTTAGTTCTCCCAGTTCCAGAAGGAACACGAAGAACAGCCCTGAGGACCAAAGTGTAAGATCCCAAAATAGAGAAGAAAGGCCCAAAGATAACAGTTGAGCTGAAGGTGTAACAGGTAAGCTCAATAGAAGGTGCTGGGACACAGACTAGTGCAAACAGTGGTCCTGGGTCACACACGATGTGGTCAATGATACTGGGTTCACAGAAGGGAAGTTGGGACAAAAGGATAATTGGAATTGGATACCACAGGAACCCACCCACCCAGCAGAGACAGACTAAGATCGCACAGAACTTTCCAGTCATGACAGTAGGGTAGTGCAGGGGGCGGCAGATGGCCAGGTACCGATCATAGGCCATGACTGATAAGAAGAAACACTCAGTTGTACCCAGTGAAAAAAAGAAGTAGAATTGGAGGAAGCAGCCAGAGAAAGAGATGGTCTTGGTGTCAGAGAGGATGTTGGCCAGCATGTTTGGGATAGTGGAGGAAACGTACCAGATCTCCAGGAAGGCGAAGTTTCCCAAGAGGATGTACATGGGTGTGTGGAGCCTCCTGTCCCATTTCACAGCACAGACAATAGCACCATTGCCCAGCAGGGTCAGGAGATAGACCATTAGGATTAATGAGAACAAGATGTTCTGGGTTTTTCTTTGACCAGGGAAACCCAGCAGAATAAACTCAGTCACAAGCTTCGTTGTTCTATTCTTGTGTTTCAAAGCTGTTCAAGAAACATAGCAGACCAAGTAATGACTTGTAGTAATGAACAAAGTTAATAATCGCTTGAAGATGAACTAAGTATTATTCACATAGAATATCTTATTTGACTCTGTGATTCCTTGAATGTGGAGATATTGTGCTTCTTTGTCTTCTATCTATTTTTATTATTCAAATTGGTTTGAAAATTTACAATTCACACTGATTTCTCATTCCATAGTTCACATACATTTTGTTTTAACAATTTAACAACATTAAACATTTAATAATTATTACTTAATTTATGTAATCAATGACAATATCTAACCAACCCCTTATTGTTCATCGCCTTCATCTTACCACTTTTTTTTTTAAAAAGGAACTTTAATCTCAGAGAATCTTAAGGAGTTTACTTGAAAGTGTAAAACCAATAATTCCTATCTATATCAGCACATTTTGGGATTAGTTGTAAATAAACACCACTTCATATCAAAAGTCTCATGTTCGGCTCTATTGGTAGAATCAATGGCTCTTGGATATTCTACATTCAAGTATTCTAGTATGAATCCTACCCTCAAGAACTTGGACTCGCCCTTTGACTTTGAAGCAAAGTTGTATACAAATCTAAAATAGTTAATTTATCTTGTTAGCGAGAATTTCATATGGAGAATTCCAATAATAAATGACAATGGAGCGAGGTGGCAATCTTGCGTTCCCTTGCCTTTGCCACCCCCAATGACCTACTTTAAAATCCTTTGTTGTTGCTGATGTAAGATGTCATGGAATCAGCTCACAGAAATCCTATGTCCAACTGAAGAAAACTCTGCTGGATCCTGTAACAGTATACAGACCACCAGTCCAGTCTACTCTACAAATTCCAGGTGGCAGCTGTGCCCTGATTCTCTCAAAGCACTTCCTTATGTTGCTTTCCTCCCTTATAATACGTACACACTCATCTCAGTATTCCTCTTTGTAGCTACTCAAAATAAGTCTAATTTCTACTCCATGGAGTATATTTGGTGAAGAGGTGATGGTTAAAGGGTGAAAGGGTGTTAAATTACTGAAGACAGTAGTGATGGTCCCTAGAAGTCATTACTTGAACCTGTACTAAAAAACAGTAACAAGCCATGGCAGGGCACCTGAAGCAACTTAATGTTTTGCTTCTGTGTGAATTAATTTCTGTAGTTTCTACAATCATGAGCCTTCACTTTTCTGCCAGTAATTAAACCCTACACACATATCAGTTTATGAATAAACATCATCTTGCTTTTATCACAATTAAATATTGAGTAGAGGAATCTCCTTAAAATGTGAGTTGAGACAAAATTATAAGGCCAGTTATTATGATACTAACAACTTGCTTGATCCTATTGATCCAGTTTGATTTCTATGCCCTTAATTTGGTAGTTAAAGTTTAGGTTTGTCTCAATAAATCAATTGATTATTTACAGTTTAAAAATATACTGACTTTTTGGAAAGATTATTTTATAATAGAATATTATTTATGATTCTTAATGTAGTTTATTACAATAAACAAATTATTATTCATAATGATTATATTACTATTAATAAATCATCAAAATGAAATAAAATTATTTATCCAGGTCACTGTCAAGATACCCACCAAATTCCATTCTACGTCATCTGAGGAGAGCAAGAGGAGGACTTCTTAGTACTTCATCGAACTTCGAATAAACACAAAGGATAAATGTTCACTGTCAAGGTGCTTTAAATATATGTGTAACATTAATACTCTAGAATTACAAAAAAACCTGTCTTACCAAATACGATATTTATGAAAATTTAAATTTTATTCAAGAGATTAGGTTCCCTGCAGTATAATTATGATGCTCATATGCACCAAAATGTCTAGGTGAACTGTAATTTCAAACATACTTCCCACAACTATACTTAGTACTTGCAAGATAATATGTTGTGATTTTTGGTTGGAAAATCAAGCTGGTGGGCTTGTAATAATAATAATAATAATTTAAAAGTGGTATGATGAGTTTAAATTACACTTTTAAGAAATACACTTTTATTTAAGAAATACACTTTCATTGTTATGTTACTAACATTGTCATAGGTTTTTGGATACAATAATGAACATAAATATGCTCATATTATATTCATAAAATGTTATAAAAACAATCAATGTTTCTACCTACCTTCATATGACTGTGTGAATGAAGCTTCCTGGAGTAGTGTATATCATAGCATACCCAGCTATAGGATGTGCATCTGGAAAATAATATTTTTCCCTGTTAGAAGCTATTTAAAGACATATAGTGAAAGTAACATGTTAATGGACTATTTTGCATAAAGTAGAATCAATGTCATTACATTTACATGTTCATAGTAATGATATTTGGAGAAAGCATAGACCAGGTATTTTTAATGTCATGATCCATAGGTCTTCACCACTCGCAGTATAAGCAGAATAGGGATTAGGAGAACAGCACACAACATCATCAACCTAGGTTCCTTCAAGTTAGGTGCCTCTCCTGTCCACAGGTTTAGATTACATAAAAGCATCCACTAGCTTATGTTTTGAAGAAGAGGATATCTAAGTGCCTTTCCCCCAGGATTAAATACTGATTGGACAACCATGGTTGAGTGCCAAATTGCATGCATAGACAATAGGTAGAAAAAGGGACAATAAAAGAGGAATCATAAAATGCAAAAATGTATAAAAACTCCCTGTAGACAATGGACATGTTCCCCCCCCCAGTCTAGTACACAGTGGGCTAGACTTACTGTTGTTAGAGAATAAGCTTTCTTTCTTTATCCCACTAAGTTAGCATAACAGATTTCTTGGTTTCTTTTTTGTTGCTGTTAAATGCCATCAAGTCATAGACAACTCATGGAGAAAGACCTGAACACTTGTATAGCTTTCTTAGTTTCTCTAAGTTCATAGAGTTTCCAGAGGCAAGCTATTTTGGAAGTGGATACCACTCCTATTGATAAGCCTGTTTTAATCTGGGAACTCCACCAAACACTGTCCACCATGGGTGATCATTGTCACATTTGACACATCAGTGTCACAGTGTTTAGCATTACAGGAACCATGAGTTACCTCTGTACAACAAATGGACAGACCAGTGCTATACCACTTGGAAGAATGTTGGTTCCCTTAGAGAATAATCATAATCTTTCCCTTGTGGTCTAGTGCTATGTGTTGTACTGACAATCCAAAGACATTAATTTTCAACCCACCAGCTGCCCTGTGTTAGGAAGATGGGAAATAACCTTCCTGTGTGATTTATTGCTTCTGAAAACCACCTAGAGGATCATCAATGATTTGGTCTGACATGATGTCACAGAACAACAACAGCAGCAAAACATATACTTTGCTTTATGTTCATTAATAGATATTATGCCCATTAACAGGGATTTCTGGTGTTCTATAGAGGTAAGGAGCTATGCTGCCATACCAAAGGTGTGCAGTTCAAATTCACCAGCGGCTTCATTGGAGGAAGATAGGCAATCTCCTTCTATGCAAATTGTGTTGTTATGTGCCATCGAGTTGCCTCTGACTCATAGTGACCCTATGCATTATAGTTCTGAACTCTGCTCTGTCCTGAGCAAATTTCACTGCCTCTGACACACCTACCCTCATTACCCCAGTTACTGTGTCAATTCATCTCATCTAAGTCTTTCTCACTTGCACTGTACCTCCACCCTCCCAAACATGATGTCCATTTCAAAGAACTGGTATCTCTTGGAAACATGCCTAAAGTATGGGAGACTGAATCTTAAAATCCTTTCCTCCCAGGAGCAGCTTGATTTCAGATAGAACTGGTTGTTCTCTTGGCAGTCCATGTTCAATACTCTACTCTAGCACCACAACTCAAAGGCATCAATTCCTTTGTCATTTTAGTTATTGTCCAGCTTTTTGATGAATAGCAAGTAATTATGAAGACCATGACCTTAGTCTATAGACTGACATTGTTGCTCTTCAGCACTTTAATGCAATTTGTATTTTGATTTCCTTACTACTGGTGTGGACCCAAGCAAGCAGTAATTGTTAACAATATTTTCTTAAATCTCTGTGCAATTTACAGCATCTGAAAAATCAGCTGGAGGGTCAGCTATAGTTTGGTTCCATCTTAACAGTACACAACAACAACAACAACATGCCCATTGTCAGATAAGAAGATGTTGAGGGGGCAGTTTGAATACAGCATACCTGTGCAACCAGCACTGTATATTTTAAGACAATAGCCAGAAACACAAGACATAAATTAACTTACCCTAATTATAGGTAAGGTAGCTTTTGGTACCATTACCAGAAATATCATCTCAACTCATGGTCCCTAACCTGGAGCCAGATCTCATAAATTATGAATCTTGGCTAGTCATTTGACTTCATGATGTCCAATATTTTGTCAATATGATTTGTGCTACAGTGAAATTTCAACTATCTATGGAATATAGACTCAGAAAATAAAATTATTGAGTAAACAAACTTTACAAATAATTTCACAGCTTACCAGTATCTGTTTCTGCTACCTCTAGCACATGTTTTAGAGAAGTACATCCATTAGAAGTATATCCAATTATATCTACTTGTAGCTTAAATGGAAAAGTGTATTTATTTCTTTCATTTTCCCCTATCATTTTAAATGTTAGTACAAAGGGATAGTTGAAGGGAAACACAGATCCTGGACTGTCCATCCTGTATGAACATTTCTAAGAAGCAAACCCTTCTGATAACATCAATCACTTGCTGGATTTAAGTCATTTGGATAGTGAAGAACATTTGCTTTTAAGATCATAATTGAAGAAGCCCTTTTTAAAAATATTTATGATTTTATATTTAACCTTTATACAAATCTAAAGGACAAGAGTGTCTACTAGACTATTCTTTAACAGTTCCTACTTCCCAACAACTTAAAAAGCAAACAAACCAGAATGAGCTGCTTAAGTAGTTCTTAGAGAAGGAGTTTCTATCAGTGAAAAGACATTGTGCTAATATAAAACACAAAAAAACTACCAGATTCTCTGAGTGGAACAGTTAATATAATTGGTTACTGAATGAAATACTGGTGGTTCGAGTCCACTCAAAGGTGATCTGAAAAGATATTCTGGTGATATATTTCAGAAAGGTAGCCTTAAAGAGTACAACTATACTTAACACACATGGGTTGCTGTGAGTTGAAAGGACTATATGGCAATTGGTCTGGTTACCAGATTCAGACTACATTGTGTTGGCAAGGGCTTTGTTACTGTAAGGTGCCATCAAGTTGGCTACAACTTGTAATCATCCTTTGAACAACAGTTTGGAACGTTATTTTATCCTGCATCATCATTATTATCCTTGTGCTCAGAAATCTCTGTAACATTTTTGTAGTCATTGTATTAATTAATCTCATTGAGGGTATCTCACCCCCCTCCCCCCTCTACTTATGATGCCTTTTCCTAAGGAATGGCACCTACTGACAGCATGTTCCATTTTTTTGAAACCAAGTTTCACCATTATTGCTTCTAATGGACATCTTAAAGGCACTTCATCCAAGACATATTTATTCTTTTGGCAATCCTACATATATTCAATGTCCTTCTCCAACACCACAATTTAAATGCATCAAAAAAAATATCCAAACGTTTGTGTACCATGGACATTCTAAGATACTCTTTGAGCCTTAGGTACAATTCTATCATTGAATACCCTTCAGAGTTTGTTAAAGAAGAGAACTGCGGGGCCCTAAATAGAACAAAGGAACAATAACAACAAAATCAATGAATTTATGGAAGAACAGAGGAGCAGTGATAGATAACTAATGCATGCACCACACCTTTCTAACCCACCTGGTGGCATTTTTGGCTCCGAGAGGAAGTTTGAGAAAAACTCCTGACACTATCTTCATTATTATTAGGATCTAAAATCAGAATCACAGATAGGAAACATTTTTTGTGCCTCCCGAGGCTTGCTTCTTTACAACGTAAAATGTCTTTAGTACTTTGAGCAAAATGGAGCTTCTTTTCCAGGTAATGATTATTAAGAATATATATATATGCTGAATAGGACCCAAATAACTTAGAGCCCTTTGGGAGACATCCCTCCCTTTGCATATATCTAATCTGAACTGTATTTGTGTATATTTCCCCCAAAGATTTTATTAATAAGTTACAGAGATTAGGATAAATAACCAATGAGACTTGAAAAGATTTGTTTTTGCTATCATCCTCTAAGGAAAAGGTACTTGGGGAATAGGTGGAAATTAAGAGTTAGAGAGGAAGTGTGTCAGTGAATGTTCTTGATTTTTAAAAAAATATACTTATTTATTCTTGGTGTCTAACCAATAAACATAAAATTTAAAAATTTTTACCTATGTAAAATTCAATTTTATTCTCTTCAATATAACATAAGGAATCTGCTTTTTCACTTTTAAATATAGTTTGAAAATATTTGAAAAAAATGACAGTTCTGTAGATTTATGACAGATGAATGAATAAGCTTGGTGAGCTCTAGTTCTTTCAAATATGAGAAATGCCAGATGTGCAGGCCAGATTTAGAAGAGACTATAGTACTAAGGATTTTATAGCTAATATTAGATGGATCTTGGCTGAAAGCAGAGAGTGTCAGAGGAATGTCTATCTGTGTTTCACTGATTATGCAAAGGTGTTGGACTGTGTGGATCACAACATATTGTGGCTGACCCTGAGAAGAATGGGACTCCCAGAACATTTGATTGTGCTTATGTGAAACCTATACTTGAACCAGGAGGCAGTCATCAGAACAGAGCAAGGAAACACTGCATGGTTTAAAATCAGGAAGGGTGTACACCATGGATGTATTCTGTCTTCCTACCTTTTGAATATCTATGCAGAACAGATTATCCGGTAAGCTGGGCTATATCAAGAAGAATATGGCATCAGGCTTGGAAAAAGATTTTTCAACAACTTGTGATATGCAGATGATACAACCCTGCTTACTGAAACTGGGGAGGACCTGAAATGCTTGTTGCAGAAGGTCAAGGACTGCAGCCTCCTATATGGATTGAAGCTCAAAATCAAGGGAACAAAGATTCTCACCATTCTGACAATTGGCAGCATCAGTATGGATGGTGAAGAGACTGAGATTGTTAACAGTTTTAGTTTGCTTGGGTCCACAATTAACACTCTTGGTACCAGCAGTCAGGAAATCAAGAGATGAATTGCATTGAGAAAGTCGCCTGTCAGAGTCCTCTCCAGAGTGCTGTAGAGCAACAATGTCAGTGTGGAGACTAAGGTGTGCCTGATCCATGCCATAGTCTTCACAGTTGCTTGCTGTGCATCAGAAAGTTGGAAAATGACTAGGGATTATAGAAGGAGAATTGATGCCTTTGAGCTGTGGTGCTAGGAGAACAAACAGATTCATCCTAGAGAGGGTAAAGCCGGCCTGCTCCTTGGAGGCAAGGATTCTGAAGCTTTGTCTGGCATACTTTGGGCATGTTGCAAGGAGAAACTGGTCCTTAGAGAAGGACTTCATGTTTGGAAGGGTGGAGGGATGGAGAAGGAGAGAGAGACCCTTGATGAGATGGAGTGATACAGTGACTGGGGCAATGAGGGTAGGTATGTTGGAGACAATAAAGTTGGCACAGGGTAGAGATTTCAGGGTGGTTGTACATAGGGTTGCTATGGGTCGCAAGAGACTTGATGGCACATGCCAATAACATTCCCTTTTTTTGTGTACCTATAGGGTTGAAATGGGATAGGAGACCAAATGAGAAAACAGACCTAAAAATGCTTTAAAAATTATGATAGCAATTTTGATTACATTTGGTTAAAGAGTCCTAAGAATGTTTATCTGACTTCATATTTTTGTCTTTTCAGATGGCCATGGGACTATTTTCCCTCAATTAGAATTTCTTTTTCTAGAATTGAAGTAGTTTTATTCTCCTAGGGCTAATAAGTTCCCTAATTTTTCTCTTCACTCCCAAATATATCCTCAAGAGCAGGTGAAAGATTTATATTTACATATTGCTTTAAGAAGAAGAAACAACCTTTTTTTCTTAAAAAAATTAATTTGACAATTAGAAATAAGAATTTTAAAAAGCAAATACCCAACAGGGTTGACACATTACTACAAATGACTTTTAGAAAAATTTACCAATAAAGACAGAAAGTTCTTTCTTAATTTATAATAGAAAGGGAACCAGAGACACATTGAAGCTAGAAAGCATTATGAGGAAAGAAAAAGAAGATGAAATAATATATGTTGTTCTTATTAAACACCTTTGTGTATGACTCATAGTGACCCTATGAATAATACACCCAAATCCTGTTCTATCTTGTGCCATCCACATCATCTCTGATACACTTGAGTCCATTCCTGCAGTGACCATCTTGTTGAGGGTCTTCTTTTCTTTCGCTAACCTTCCATCTTTCCAAGCATGTTGAATCCTTTCCAAGAAATAGCTTCTAGCAACATGCCCACAATATGAGAGATAAAACTTTGACATCTTCAGCTCCAAGGAACAAGCTGGCTGCCAGCACCTCGATTTTAAGAATCTTCATTATGGAAAAATTTATTCTAGATATATAATTTTTATTCTTTTAAACAAGAATAAAAAAGTTTTGTGTTTGGTATATGCATAATCCACCTTTTGCATTGTCCTCAGTTAAGCAACTTATTTTCATTTACTTTTTTTGCACTTCCCAGCAAATGTAATGGCCTTTCTTCAATCACTTATTTTCCCCCCATATTGAACTGTGAATACTAATGTGCTTTTGCAGTCATGAAATAAAAAAAACTGAATTGCATTGGGTAAATCTGTTGTCAGGGATCTCTCCAGATTGCTGAAGAGCAATGATGTCAGTCTTGAGACTAAAGTACACCTGATTCAAGCCATGGTATTTGTAATTACTTGCTATTTATCAAAGAGGTGGACAATGACTAAGGAAGAACAACAGATGACTTTGAGTATGATGCTGGAAAGGAGTATTGAACATACCATTGACTGCCATGAGAAGAAACAGGTCTGTCCTAGAGAGGGTGAAATGAGGTTACTCTCTGGAGGCAAGAATTTGAAAGCTCTGTCTCACATACTTTGGACATGTTGTCAGGAGAGACCAGTCCTTGGAGAAGGATAGCATGCTTGGAATGGTGGAGAGGCAGCCCAAGAAAGGAAGACTCTGGATGAGACGGATTGACACAGTAACTGGGTAACGGGGTAGGTATTTTGGGGACATTGAGATTGTTTCAGTATAGGGCAAGGTTCAGAGTTATTGTGCATGGGATAACTATGAGTCATAGGTGGCTTTATGGTGCATAACAACAACAACAACAAAACATAAAATTATATAATTTACCAATTTTCTGAATAATGACTCATTTGTTAATGAATAATAAGGCGAGAAAGTGTAAGGAAGTGCTAGATGAGGGATATCTGAGGTATGAGGTCCTGAGTCACCATTTCATTATAACACACCAAATTATGGTACTGGAGATATAATTTACTGTGGCTCAAATAGCATATTTGAAAGCATAAAACCCACAAAAGTCTGAAAAATTATATTTATGGCAAATGAGAATTCAGTGGTGCTACTACTGCTCATGTGTGTCTTATTAAAAAGTCAAAGCAGTCTAGGCAAGATGTAAATTACTCACCCCTCTTGACAGGACTAACTGTGAATGAAGGTTGTCTGTACCCTTACTGTCGTCTTTCAGTCTCTTCCATAGAATGACAATCCAAGGTCTGAGCCTTGAGTGTTCTCCTGATCACTAGTGCACACTTGTGTAATATTCCAAATCCTAGGAAATACAACCACTGATACCCTCTCTTCTCCTTAAGGAACTCAGACTGTTGAGCAGTGGTGATAGCCAATGGAGAGAAACTCAGTCCTAAAGCAACATTTGAAGTGTGGACCTTAGCTACTAGTGTTTTGTTTAAGATCTCAATCTCCCACAGATACCAAAATCTTTTTCTATGTGACCCAGCAGAGAAGGTTCATCAAATGATGTTCTTATATTAGTTACTTTTGTTGCAGAATTAATGGAAATACAAAAGGTATAAATGCATGAAGCAAACAAAAAGGGGTGCTGGTGAAGGAAGAGGGAAGAGTCTGTTATTGAGATTCCCAAGGGGTGAAACCAAAGATGCATCCAAGAAATTATTTTTAGGAATTTGATATGTTTTGGTGGCACACACTACTAAAATGATTTTGTAATTTTGATTGCAAGTGTATAGAAATGAAAGTAATATTTTCACTGATTTTTTTAAAAAAACATACTTTTTGTGACACTTTCTTGGGATATTATTTTCTTATATTACACACATACAATTATACAATTTTAAAGAGATATTACAATTGCACCTTTTATTATGTATATAAACATAGGCAATTTCAGTTTTATGTCTTAAATTTTTTACTAATGGAACTTAAATTTTTCTTGACTAATTGCACTTGCTATATCCTAATGAACAAATTTGAACTGAAGGGTTTATAATGAACTTCCTTGCATCTCATTCAGTGCCAAAGAGAAAAATTTTAAAATTAAATCACCAAGTGTATATATTGCTATTGTTATTAGGTGCCATTGAGTATGACTCACAGTGACTCTATGAACAGCAGACCTGAATCCTATCCTATCATGTGTCATCTTCATCATCTCTGATAGACTTGAGCCAATTGTTATAGTCATTACATCAATCCACTTTGCTGGGGGTCTTCTCTTTTGCTGATTCTCTGCCTTTCTAAGCAGTATAAACCTTTCCAAGGATTGGCCTCTCGTGGCAATAATGCCCAAAATATGTGAGTGGAAGCCTCGCCTCCTTGCCTCCAAGGTGCACTCCAGTTACAAGTTTTCTAAGATATATCTGTTCATTTTTTGGGCAGTCTATGGCATATTCACTTGCTACTTAAGAAAATACTCCTCTCCAACACCTCAGTTCAGAGACATTAATTATTTTTCTGTCGTTCATCTCTCAGATACATAACAAGTGATTGAGAAGACTATGGCCTGAGTCAAGGACATCTTAATCTTCAAACTGACATCCCTGCTCTTGAATATTTTGGAGAGATTTCTGACAGTGAACTTGCCCAAAGCAATGTGTCTCCTGATCTACTGAATGCGGATATCAAAGGTGTTGACTGTGGATCGAAGTAAGAGGAAATACTTCACAATTTCAATCCTTTTTCACCTGTTATGATGTTGCCTATTGGCCCAGTGGTAAGGACATTTGTTTTCTTGATGTTGAGATGTTATCTATATTGAAGCTGTCTTCTTTGATTTTCTGTAGCAAGCATTTGAGATCCTTCTCTCTTTAAGCAAGCAAGGTTGTGTCATATACCAGCACAGGGTGTTGATGAGTCTTCCTCCAGTCCTGATGTCACATCATTTGTCATAGAGTCCAGCTTCTTCAACGATACATACAGATTGATTAGGAATGGTGAAAGGATACAACCCTGATCTCCACTTTTCCTGATTTTAAACCATGTAATGGTCTCTTGCTTTGTTCAGACAATAGTTTCTTTATCTATGTGTAGATTTCATAATGAGCACAATTATAAATGTCTTTGTATAGTCAATGAAACACAGATAGACATTCTTCTATATTCTTTACTTTCAGCCCATGTGCCACGGCCTCTCTCAACCTAGCTTGAACTTCTGGCAGTTCTCTGTCAATGTACTGTTTTAGCCATTTTTGGGTGATCTTTAACAATATTTTCCTTATACGTAATATGGATGATATTTTTCAATAATTATCATATTATGTTGGATCACCTTTCTTAAGGATGGGAAGAAATATGGATCTCTTCCAATAAGTCAGTCAGGGAGCTATTCTCCAAATTTCCTAGCACAGGCTGATGCTCATGTCCAGAGTTGCATCTATTAGCTGAAAAATATCAGCTGGTATCCCATCTGCTCTTGGGATCTCATTTATATATTGTAATTTATTTATTTTTTAAAACTTTATCAGTTAAGAAGCTTAGTTGAGAAGTTACTATTTTATGTTCATTTAAAGAAATTTTTTAAAAACTAGAATATTTTATTATTTTATGTACCCAAACTCATGTAGATATAACCTTATATATTTAATACAGTGTAGTATCCCTGAAGGAATATTTTAAAATGGGTGACCACTAAATTTTATTAGGTATTTGCTCATATATATTGCTTATACACGTTTATATTTGTTTATGTAATTGATAAAATGGGTTGAATTTTAATGTTAAACATACACAGTTTTTGAGTATATATTTAATTTGTTCTAGATTTTTTTCAAGAGAAAGTAACAATTTATTCCAATAAACACTAGTATATAATACTTTAAACAGCATAATATAACAAAAAACTGCATGCCAAATTATAACCCCTAGTTCCAATACTAAGAATGCTAATGTTTCATCTACGTCATGTAACAATCCCATACTATGACAAGTTGGAAGCAGGAGTGGCATCCACTTCCTAAATAACAGGTCTCTAGAAACTCTATGAACTTTGATAAATGTCAATAGTTGTGAAATTTGATTTTTTTAAAAATTCTTTGTTAAATCTATGATTTAGTAGGTTGTATTAAACTAACCTTTCTGATGAAAGTAACCATAAAATATGAACAAAATACATACAAGCCACAATTTGAAAACCTTAAAGAACATACAACACAGCTAAAAGTTCAGGTACCACAATTCTGAAAAGATGATAAAGTGAGGAAATGAACTCCATATTCACTTCCCCCAGAATATCTGACAATAATAGATGAGGGGAGTGTAGCGGTGTGTACTTCTGGGGAGGAAATTGAGGGTAGATGAAGGGGATGAAGGGATAAAGTTAGTAGAAAACTATTATAGAAAGCAGTCATCTTACTGAACCAAGGAGATAGATTTCTATTTTGTATCTGTCAAAGCAGTAGGTGTTCTAGGGACAAAGTCTTAAGAGAGACCACAGAGAAATGATGTCTAAAATTTAATGAAATCCCCCCAAAAGGAATTTTGGGATTTCCAAGTTGTTTAAGGTGAGCCTGATTCAGGCCATACTCTTTCCAATTACTTGCTATACATGTGAGAGCTGGGCAATGACTAAGGATGACAGAAGAAGAATCAATACCTTTGAGTTATGGTGCTGGAGAAGAATATTGAACATACCATGACTGCCAAGAACAAAGAGGTCTGTTTTGGAGGGAGTGAAACCAACTTGCTGTTTGGAAGCAATGAATTTTGAAGCTTCATCTGACATACATTGGATATATTGCCAGGAGGGGCCAGACTTTTAGGAAAACATCATGCTTGGAAGGGTGGAGCGACAGTGCAGGAGAAGAAGACTTTGGATGAAACAGATTGACATAGTAACTGGGGTAATGGGGGTAGATATGTTGGAGACAGTGAGTTTGGCTCAGGATAGGGCAGGGTTCAAAGCTATTGTACATTGGTTGCTATGAATCACAGAGGACTTGACAGCACATAACAACAGTGACAACAACAATAACAACAATAACAACAAAGCTGTTCAGGTTCTAGCTGAGACCTAAGAAACTTAGTAGAAGTGACTATTCATATCTTCTGCCTGATTTGTGATCAGGTAGTCTTTTCTTGTTTAGGTGCTGTAGTATTCGTTAATTTTAGATATGACTGTCTTATCAGATATGTTTTTGTCAAATATTTTTTTCCCCAGCCTGTGGGCTTCTTTTTTATTCTACTGGACAAATTGTCTTATGCACACGTGTTTGATTTTTAGAAGGTCCCATTCGTCTGTTTTATTCTCTCCTGGTTGTAGGATTTTAGTTTTGTTTTAAAGTCTATTAATGTCATACATTAGGGCCTCTATCTTTGTTCCTATTTTGGTCTAATTATCTTTATAGTGTTTCGTTTTAATCCTAGGTCCTTAATCCACTTTGGATTGATTTTTTTGTATGTTATGAGCTATGGATCTTACTTACTGAAAGAAAAAGTCAGATGGTCATCAAACACATGAGGAAATGCTCAAAATCACTAGTTAATAGAAAGACACAAATTAAAAAAAAATAACGAGATACCATTTCACTTGTGTAACAATAGCAAATTTCATCAGGACAGGAAACAACAAATGCTGGTGAGGATTTGGAGAGAACAGAACTCTCAAATACTGCTGGTGGGCATATGAAATGGAACAATCACTGTGGAAGCTAGTTCTTAAGAAAGTTGAAAAAAGAAATATCATTTGGCCCACTTACACCATTACCAGGAATATACTCTAAATAAATTAGAGCTGTGACACTAACAAATATATACACATGTCTATAACACATATATAACCCCCATGTTTATTGCAGTATTATTCACAACAGTATAGAGAAGGAAGCATCCCAACTGCTCATCAATAAGTCAAATGAGTTGAGAAACTATAGTACAGTCACACAATAGAATAGGATACAGCATTGAAAAACAATGAATATAATGCAATATGGATGAGTCAGTAAGGCATTATTCCAGTTAAATATCTCAGTTATAAAAAGCCAAATACTGCATAACACCTCTGCTATAAAATAGGATTGATTACAGGGTGGAGTGGGGAATGCAGGGAAAGAATGGATAGATAACGAACACTGCACCAAAATAGATGACGGGAAGAAGGAAGGTCAATCTGAATGGAATGGGCAATGAGAAATTATGTGTCTGGAAATTAGCAGTCTGGAACAGGACATTACAAATTGAATTGTGGACTAGGGAGGAAAATATGTGTAAAGAAATGAATGAAAAAAGAAATTTCTTTGTAAACTTTTAAAATCACAATTAGAAAGAAAGAAATCTAACAGAGTGCATAAGCTCAGAGTCTAAAGAGTTGAGAGGACATACCAGGGATTAGGATTTAAGGATCAGAGAAATAGGAATTAGGGCATGATAAGCAGAAAGGGCTTTGATGAATAATCCAGACCAGCAGGTGATGTCTCAGGAAGGCTTTGGTCCTAGAGGAAGGACCACAACCCAGGAATAAGATAAAAATTAACATAGACAATCTTGACACACATAAAAAAATAACTTTACAGGTATTACAGCCATATAAATCTGTGATATTTATCTGTTGGAAGAAAATATTATGTTGGTTGAGTTATTACAACCAATGTCTCCAGAATTTTTTATGTCTTACATTAAAGAAAATGTAATGGTAAGTGTGGTAAAAAACAGGACAAAATAATCATAACACAAGAGAAGAAACAGGCTCAAAGGTGACTAAACATTTGGACTAATGCTAGTACGAACAATAATATGAATGACACAAATTTATTTTTAAACCTGAAAAGGAAGTTAAATGCAAACTTAATATTGTTCGAGCACATTTTTCATTAATACTCTTGTTACATTCCCAGACATTTTTGCAGGGCTCTTTTCATATCTTTATTCCTAAGACTGTATATTACAGGGTTAAGAAGTGGAGTCAAGACAGAATAAAACAGAGTCACAATTTTCTGCATACCAGCTTCATGTTCAGATGTTGGACTCCCATACATGACCAGTACTGAGCCATAAAAAAGTGAAACCACAGCCAGATGAGACCCACAAGTGGAGAAGGCTTTTTTTCGGCCAGCTGCTGAAGGGACTTTTAGGACGGCTCTTAGGACTAGAGTGTAGGATCCCATAATGAAGAGGAAGGGTATAACGAGAGGCAGAGGGCTTAAAGAGGAGAAGACAAGCTCAATTACAGGAGCTCTTTTGCACATGAGTGCTAGGAGAGGACCTGGGTCACATAAGAAGTGGTCAATAATCCTGGATCCACAGAAGGACATCTGGGAAATGATGATTATAGGAATCAAGAACCAGAGGAAACCAAATACCCAGCAATTGATAATAAGATTCGTGCAGAGACGTCCAGTCATAATGGTTGGGTAGTGGAGAGGCCGGCAAATTGCAAGGTATCTATCAAATGCCATAACTGCCAAGAAAAAGCATTCTGTAGAACCCAAGGAGAAGAAGAAATAGAACTGCAGGAAGCACCCAGAAAAAGAGATGACTTTTGTCTCAGAAAGGAAGTTGGCCAACATGTTGGGGACTGTAGAGGTGACATACCAGATCTCTAGGAAGGAGAAGTTGGCTAATAGGATGTACATGGGGGTGTGGAGTCTCTGATCCCAGCAAACTGCACAGATGATAGAACCATTCCCCATGAGAGTCAGAAAGTAGACAACAGAGAAGAGCACAAAGAGGAGGATCTGGCCCTCCCTGGGGCAAGGAAATCCCAGGAGGATGAAGCCAGTGATGGTGCTGGAGTTATTTGGAATATTGAAGACTTTCATGTGTCTTCGAGCTGTAAAAATAAAACAGACAACCAAATCTAATAGGAAATGAGTAACAAATATGGAGTAACAGTGTAAAGACAAAGGAGGACACAGATTTACATTTGAAGAATCTTCAGAAATAAACAGTTAGATAATAATTGTTATTTATCCTAAAATACTGATACGATTTCCTGATCCCCCCTCTCTTTTTCATTTTTACCCTAAGCTTAAGCAACTTTTGGTCAGCATTATTAAGCTCTTGGGGTAGAGTGTTATAGAAATATCTACCTATGACAATGTTGAATGTTATTGGGACTCTGTGATATTTCAGAACAGTGGTGGTTAAACACATTGCTTTTTTTCATTTGTTTTTAGGTAGATATTTTTCTGCAAATAAAATCCTTCTGTGTATGATTTAGGAAAGACTCATGGATGTTCTCTTGTTTATGTGTGACAATGTCAGAGACTTCCAAATTTATATCTTTGTATCACATGTGCTTGATTTCTTGCCATCTTGAACAATGAGAAGCAAAATACTTGTTGACAAAACTTTTCTTAAGCTTCTTCCATCTCCATTGTCTCCACTCTGGTTCAAGCAACCTTTTCCCCTTCCTAAATATTTGTGATTGGGGCTTAACTGGCTTTCTGCTTCCATTATTATCTCATGACAGACGTATCTCTGTTCCAAAGTCAGGATGACTCTTTAAATAAAAAGGTCATTCCTTTGTTTTGTACATAGATATTAACTAACCAGTTCCTTAGGAAAAAAAAACACAACAAAATCTGTTATACTGATGATATAACATAGCTTGACAAAACTGAGAAAGATGTGAAGCTTTTGCTGCAGAAAGTCAGGGACTGCAGCCTTCAATAAGGATTGCATTTCAATGTCAAGAGGATAAAGATCCTCATCATCAGGCCAAAAGACATTAGAGTAGATGGAGAGAAGATTGAGGTGGTGAACTATTTCATCTTGCTCAGATGTACAGTCAACACCTTGGCACCCAAAGTCAGGAAATTAAAAGATGAGTTGCATTGGGAAAATCTGCTGTCAAGTACATCTCCAGAGTGCTAAAGAGCAATGATATTAGTCTAGAGACTAAGGTGCACTTGATTCAGGCTATGATATTCCCAATTGCTTGCTAAGTATCTGAGAACTGGGCAATGAATAAGGATGACAGAAGGAGAATCGATACCTTTGAGATGTGGTGCTAGAAAATATTATTCAACAGACCATGGACTGCCAAGAGAACAAACAGTTCTGTCCTTGAGAAGGTGAAACCAGTTTGCTCCTTGGAGGCAAGGTTTTTGAAGCTTCATCTCACATACTTTGGGCATGTTTCCAGGAGGGGATTGTCCTTGTAGAAGGACAACATACTTGGAAGGATAGAAAGTTGATGCAGGAGAGGAAGACCCTGAATGAAATGTATTGACACAGTGAATATGGTGATGGCGTCAGGTGTGTCAGAGTCAGTGAGGTTGGCTTAGGAACCATTGCTGGTAGTTGTAGTGAACTCAATGACACGTAGCAACGACTACAAAATTCACTTACAAAAAAGAGAAAATCTCTAAACTATTGTCTTTTATTTGGTTTACCTAAAAATCTCCATAGAAAGTCAACTGTAAACATCATCATAACAAATTGTGAATAATATTGTAAAGAAATGGAAATTCCAGAATACTTAATTGTGTTCATGTGGAATCTGTACATACCAAGAAATAGTTGCTTTAACAGAATAATAGTATGCTACATGATTTAAAGTCAAGGAAGCTGTGTGTCTATATTTTACCTTCTCAGCATAACTATTTAGTCTGTGTGCTGAGCAAATAATTCAAGAAGCTAAAATATTTGAAAATGGATTTGACAGAATGATTTAAGAAAGATTCATTGACAACCTACAATATACACATGACACAACCTTGCTTCAAGAAGACTTGAAATATTCACTGAAGACAAATACCACAACATTCAGTATGGATTATACCTCAGTATAAAGAAAACAAAGATTCTTACCACTGTACCACCTAGCAGCATGAAATAAACCAAGAAAAACTGATGTCTTATGGATTTAACTTTACTTAAATCAGTGCCCATGGAAACATCTGTCAAGAAATCAAATGACATATTGCATTTGGCTATGTTGCTGCTAAGGGCCACTTTAAAATTGTAAAGAACAAGGATGTCTCTTTAAGGACTAAGGTGAGCCTGACCGATGTCATGATATGTTTTATTACCTCAAATGTATGTGAGAGTTTTATAATGAAAACAAAAATCACCGAAGAAGAATTATGCCTTTGAATCGTGGTGTTGGTGAAGAATATTGAAGATACCATGTACTGCCAAAAGAACAAATCAATTTGAATGAAGTGTAGGATGTTTCTTAAAGGCAAGAATGGCAGGATTTGTATCACATACTTTGGGAAAGCTGTTGTTGATGTTAGGTGCCAACGAGTCAAGTATGACTATAGCGACCTTATGAACAAAAGAAACCCATCTTGTCCTGCACCATCCTCACACTTCCTAACACACAAAAGCATATTGCAGCAGTCACCTTTTCATTCCACCTGGTTGAAGGTCTTCCTCTCCTTCTCTGACCCTCCAACCTTCCCAACATCACGTCCCTCTTCACGGAACAGCACTTCCCAGCAATATGTCCAAGTTATGTTAGGTGAAGCCTCATCATTCTTGCCTCCAAAGAGTACTCTGGCTGTACCCTCTCTAAAACATATCTGTTAATTTTCTTGGTCATCCTTGGGATGTTCAGTGCTCTTCTCCAACACTACAACTCAAAGGCATCAATTCTTTTTCTATCATCTTTATTCATTGTTCAGGTCTCAGATGCACAGCTAGTCATTGGAAAGACCATGGCAAATTATTAGAAAAGTCCAATCCCTGAAGAAGAAAATCAAGCTTAATAAAGTGTTGTTGTTGTTAAGTGCCATTGAGTCGAGTATGACTAATAGTGAACCCATAAAAAAAATAGATCAGAACTCTATCCTATCTTGCCCCATCCTTAGAATCATTGACACATTTGAGTCCATTGCTGCAGATACTGTATTATTCTATCTAATTGAGGGTCTTCCTATCCTTCTCTGACCCTCCACCTTTCCAAGCATGATGGCCTTTTTCAAGGAATAGTCTTTCCTAACAATATCTCCAAAACATGTAGGATGGAGCCTCACTAACTTTGCCTCCAAGGAACATCCAAGTTGCACTTTCTCCTATACATACGTGTTTGCTCTTTTGGCAGTCCATGAGATATCTGGCACTCTTCTCCAACACCACAACTCATATGCATCAATTCCTCTGCCATTATTATTCATTATTCAGCTATCAGATACAGAGAAGGTGATTGGAAAGCCTTGGCTTGAATTAATCACACCTTACTGTTTTTAAACTAACTTCAACACTTTTCAGGACTTTGGAGAGATCCCTGACAACAGACTTTCCTAATGCTATCCTTCTCCTGACCTTCTCACTGCTGGTACCAAGAGTGTTGACTGTGGATCCAAACAAGAGGAAATAATTGACAATTTTAAGCTTTTATCCATTTATCATGATGTTGTCTATTATTTCAGTGGTAAGAACTTTTATTTTCTTGATATTGACAACTGGTAGTACCATGATGGATGGAGAAGAGGTTGAGGTTGCTACTAATTACAGCTTGCTCAGATCCACAATCAACACTCTTAGCACCAGTAGCTAGGAAATAAAGAGATGAATTGCACTGGGAAAAATCTGCTGTCAAGGTCTTCTCCAGAGTATTCATAAGCAACAATGTCAGGCTAGAGATTAAGGTGAACCTGATCCAGGCCATGGTCTTCTCAGTTACTTTCTATGCATCAGAGAGCTGGACAATGACTAAGGGTGACAGAAGAAGAATCGACGCCTTTGAGTTGTAGCGGCAGAGAAGAGTCTTAAACATACCATGGACCACCAATAAAACAAACAGATTTGTTTTGGAGAGGGTAAAAACAAGTTTCTCCTTGGAGGCTAGGATTTTGAAGCTCCATCTCACATGCTTGGACATGTGGCCAGGAGAGATCAGTCCTTGGAGAAGGACATCATTCTCAGAAATGTGGAGGGACAGTGCAGGAGAGGAAGACCCCAGATGAGATGGATTGATATAGTGACTGGGACAGTTGAAGTAATTGTGTTGGAGTCAGTGAGGCTGGCTCAGGACAGGCTTCAGAGCTGTTGTACATAGGGTCACTGTGATTCACCGGTGACTCGATGGCACCTAACAACAACAATAACAACAACAACACAACAACAATGCATAATGAAAGCAAAAAAAAGAGGAAGCCTCTCAAAGAAGATTGATAGCATGACTGTAAAAATTGTTTCACACATAGCAATGCTTGAAAAGAATGAGACACGTTTGGAAAGTGTTTTACTCTGTTATGCATGATATTGCTATGAGTAAGAACTGACTTGACAGTGCCTTAACAACTGCTACAGGACACATTTCTAACCTCCTCTGATTGTTCTTTCAGTGAGATTCTTTTTCATTGTCTCTCTTACACAGAAAGATTGTGGTGAAAATGATGTAGGTACACATACTTCACTAGCATAATATTTGAAACAGAATTCACTGGAGAAAAACTAACAAGAGTAATCAGAAATACATTTTCCCCTGGGCTCTCAAGATTCCACTGAAAAATGTACACCTTTAGACTGTATTCACCAAATCTTATATTTCAGTAGAAAGAGACCTTCTTATCCCTATAATGTTCAATAAGCAGGATTTTTTCTTGGCTGTTTTAGTTTTGTGGGCATATAATCTGTCTCACAACAAGTGAATGCCATTGTTGTACTGCAAAAGTAGCCATACATAATACCTAAATATCTGAAGATAACTGTATTCTAATGAAACATTATTTATGTCCATGGATTTTTGAAGTTCATAATTTGGTATTACAAATATAAAATATTTAGTAACAGGTTATTCTCCTACTGACTTGTTTTAATTATATAAAAATGCAAAGAGAAATATCCTTAGCTTATCGATAGGCAG